AACATAGGTCTAGCTGATTATCATTCCTTTCTGATCCACATTACTAGGCGGTGCTCAGCTTTGAACAAATGCAACAACTCAAATGCAGTAATATCCAGAAACTGACACACTTCACTTTTGCAGAGAAATAAGGTGAACAGGTCTTTCATGGCACAAGTGCTTCCACAGTTCAAGGAACAGTCAAGTAAATCCATCCAGTTCAATCAAGTAAGATAAACCTTATTGTATATGAATGCAATTATCTACTATATTTCAACATGATTATCGTCTGTTTGAAAATATTGTCCATTGTCTGTGTCAGCTGTCATGTTGTGGTTCTTTGTATTTTAATAGCAGGATGACATTCATGCTTGTTCAGTGCTAATTCATCCAGATATGTTGAACTGTCACCACTTCCCCAAGGGAGGACTTAAGTAGTTTAGAATCAAAACACTCTTCGTTGTCTCTTGTGCTCATTCTGATGGGCATATAAGAGAAATTAGGCTGACATTACCTGGAAATCTTAAGATTCAATAGGATGGCACCAAATGTAGCCAAGTTTAGACCTCAGTGATTTAAGTATCTAGCAGCAGAGTCAGAGGCTCAAAGAGTTCCCCACTGTGCCTTCAGAGAGAACAGCCAACCTACATGGTCTTGGGCAAGCAGCACAGCTCCTTGCTCAGCACAGCTCTTTATGTAAAGAGTTGACATCAGATATAATTGACTTGACAGCATTCTGTTATTAATTAGAGTACACCTACTCTGATGTAACTGTGCAAACCTATCAACAGATTCAAGAACAGGACAGTTTTCCCTTTCCTGGTGTAGCTACTGCATAGCCCACAGGACCTATGTTGCAGGGCTGGAAGACCCTCCAGAACAGAGTTTAGAAGGCTGGAGGGAGAGAAGGACATTTTGTTGTAATGTGCAGAGGCTGGGGAATCTCCTGCTCCTGCATCCGGTGCTAGCCATAATTCTGGATAGAACTTGTAGGAATGTACTTAGTAGACCAAAGTCTGGAAACCTTTTGAGGGGGTAAAAACATGGATGGAAGAGTAACTGTCCAAATGGCTTGTGCTCTTCCAATGCTTAAATCACTAATCAAATCAGAACAAGGTAGGATGTCTATAAGATTATGAGAAGACTTTCTGGTACCTTCCTATCATAAAGACTTACTGCAGCTCATCAAATTACAGAGACTAGAAAATGTTTTCTGTTTAATGAAGATATACAGTACTTCACATTTTTACATGTATGACTAATATAGTTTTGCACATTTTTGTGAACTGTTATGAATAAATGTATCAGCAGTAGAATAAAAATCTATTAGATAACTTATGTAAATGAATGGGCTCGAAAGGCTCACATAAATACAAATCAAGTGCTTACAGCTACTCAAAATTCTACAGTTATGCAGTGTAATAATCACATTCTGCATGGTGATGTTTCCTGAGCTAAAATGATCACACGTCTATAAAGCCAGGAACCATTGGGCGTCTCTGTGTCTCAAGTATCATATAGCACTTTCTAATTAATTCCATCCTGATTTTCACCAGGATCCTAATATATATACATATATATAAGCATATATTAATCACATTGTCAATTCCATATATAAATTATGAAATAAAATAATTTAGAAGAGATTAAAAAGGACTGCAACAATTTTTAGAACAAAACAGATAATTACTACGTATGAAATGTAATTTGAAACAGCTGTGTTAAGCTTCCAGTAGCACTGAAAATTGATGCTTACCCGCTGTGCTTATAAGTAGGCAGGCTAAAAGCAACTGCTTGCTTCAAGAAACATAAACTACTTCACACTTTGTCCATTAGCCTTGGGAAGAATGGAACCTGAAGGAAATCACACCGTGCACTTATATATTGCTATTTGACTAATATGAAACAGCTGGGCAGATCTTGAAGCAAAATACAGAGGGCCTTAGCCTGCAATTCTGAATGAATTGGGTTAGAGACACCATCTGGTGGTTAACAAGTAGAGCTGAAATAGATATGAAATATATGCCAAGTTTTGCTTTTCTAATTTAAACAAATATGAAAAATATTAAAGCAAACCTTAATTTGCGCTTTCAATCTGAAATTTAAAACTGAACATTTAAAATGGAAATATTTTAAGATTTGTAGGCATCTCTTATTTCTTTTGAGACTAAGAAACTTCAAATATAAGCTCAAAGTTACCATGATCAAATTACTAGTCAACACTGCAATCTACAAAATACTGTCAGGCTAAAAAAAATGCATATCACCTATCAAATAATTTAGTGAACAGCAGTTAGATTTTAATTTCTAGAAACAGGGGATCTACTCTTCAAACAGCACCTTCAGATATGAAAGGCGTCTCTGTAACTAACTTGTTCAGTATGGGGCCCTTTTCTTTTATTCTGTTGTGAAAGAAATGGATTCTGACAGAGTTGCCCCTGCCCTGAGGCAGCCTGAGGCAGGTGCTTCACACAACTGATTCTGAATTCCACAGAAGGAAGCCAGTCATGTAGTCATGTTTATTATAGTTCTGTTGGTGGAAGACATTTCTGACTTTTATACTAAAATCATTTGACTAGTCTTAGATACTCAGTGTTTTAACATGGATAGTTACAACATTTGTTGGTCTGCCTCAGGCAGCACAACGCATTGGACCAGCCCTCCACTCTGTACCCATATTCGAAAGTGGCACTGAGCCATGCGGCAGCTGCTAAAGGATGCCATATGCTGACAGCTTGTAGAATGACAGGATATCATCAAAAGGTTTATTCCATACTGTGTAGTTTCAACAATGTTTAGTCAAAATAGATGTTTCCATTAAAAAAAAAAACACTTAATGATCAGCTTCTTCAAAAAAGTATTTTCTCTGGCAAATAGAAAGTACAGCTATACACCTATTTTTAAAACACTTTAAAAGATTTGTTTACTAGAACACTAAATGAAATCTTGGCTTTTCTCCTTGGCCTGGCATTTCAAGAAGTTTTATCTTACAATGGCACCAGATGCTACTTTGGCTCTGCCAATAATGGAGAAGAATATATTCTGGAGAGTCCATTTGAATCCAGACAAACACAAACATGAAACTAATCTTACATAGCTTAGCTACCAGTTCCACATTACTAACAAGGGTGGGGGAAATGGTATGAAACTAAGCTATTTTCCTGCTAATGCAACACAGCTGAAGTATCTACGTCCTAAAGGAAGTCTCTTTCCAGTTAATTATTTTGTACAGATGATTATCAAGGTAATGCAAATTCCCACAGAATAATTTTTGCTCCCACTGTGCTCCTGCAAATCATTTCTGTAATGAAATCACGAAGTGAGGGGGATGTAAACCTGCATCTCATTAGCCATGGCTATGCAGAAAACCTGGAGGAAGTGGCATATTATGCACTATGCACAGAAGAATGAATCTAATGTGTGAATGGAAGTTATGAAAAAAGACCTTAAATCTCCCAAATATGAGTCTTTAAAAATGCTCTGAGACTGAACAGGTGGTCATTTGTTGCAAACATATTGTTAAAAATGACTGTTGTTTTTGGCAATGCCAGCTGGCCTTCCCAAAGGCAACTGAGAATACTTAAATACTCTAAATAAAGCGCTTAAATCTACTTTGTGAAGCAACACCCTACATAAGCTCATTTCAGCATGGGTTCTTGGTCCAACAGATTTAAATTTGATATTTAATGATGAAGTCCCAATAGTCTTCTCATCAATCATAAATTACTGGAAGCATGAATCTGGGTGAAATCTCTTACAATACAGATAAGTAACATGCCTATCCAGGCAACTTCCCTTACCCCTCATCACTGGCTACACCAGGCAGGGCTAATAAGAACTGCACTACAATTGTTGTTTGTTGTTTAGTCATTAAGTTGTGTCCAACTCTTCGTGACCCCATGGACCAGAGCACGCCAGGCCCTCCTGTCTTCCACTGCCTCCCGGAGTTGGGTCAAATTCATATTGGTAGCTTCAATGACACTGTCCAACCAGCTCATCCTCTGACATCCCCTTCTCCTCTTGCCTTCATACTTCATACCAACATCAGGGTATTTTTGAGGGATTACAATAGTATCTGGTAAACCACACATTTCTCTACCATGATCCTATAACAAAGATGTCTCAGGATTATCTTCCTATGCCTCACTGTGTGTGTGTGTGGAGGGCAGAATCAAAGAGTGCATGAGTGTGCATTTAACCTATGGCCTCCACAAAGTTGTTTCATTTCAGTTCTCGAAGATAATAGCAACAAGATGGCCACAGGTACCCAATACCTGCTTTCTAGCCATGTGCACCACTTTGTCTGCCACTTAGAATTAACTCTGTTCTGCATTCATTTGCTCTTTCAAGGAATGATGTTAGAAAACCATCAGAATAAAGTCTTCGTGCAGGTTCTCAATGACATACATAATCTTCTCCTATACCTGTATAAGCTGCAAACAAGGAAATTACTTTCTGAAAGTTTAAAAGTAAAATAAGTGTGCTTGAATTAAATTTTCCTAGTTCAAACCTATGCAGCAGCAACATGTTGGATAGAGTCGTATGTCTTGTGCTGTCTTACATGACACGCCTCAACATAAGCAATTCTAAAAATGTGTTAATTACAAGTTCTTTTAAAATGTTGTAGCTCCCTCTAGATTATATTAAAACTCTTGTCCATAAATCAATGTCATATCTTAGTGCTACATTCTACAAAGCAAGCATGACTACTACAGCTTTGAAATGTCTGTATTTCCTGTATCTCTGTTCTAACAGAGGTAGCATATATTTCAAAATTTTATAGAATGACCTTTAGATTTGGAACAATACTTCCCATGATGCATTAAATGATGGAACTGGCTTAAAATCATAACCCAACCAACTGTCAAGTTGGTATGTGTATTGGGAAAAATCCTTCTTGCAATACTTCAGATGCTGCATAAAAAATCCATAAACCATGCATAATGTATGTCAGTTATACTGAGAATTCAATAAATTTTTCCCCACTTCCATTCCATGCTTTCTAGGAATCAAAATCATAGGTCATTGAAAATAAGTTTTATTTAGACAGAACAGGCAATGTGCATGCAACTATGCTGGGCTGGAGAGGGACAGAGCAGGAAGGTGAGGGCAGTGTTGAAGATAAATTACTCCTTTGGCCATTATAAAAGTAAAAATGACTAAACAGAAAATCAATTTAATTGTGAACCAATGTTGTACATAAATCAAAGTGAGAAACGTAAATTCAGATGTATAAGCAAGAAATACAAGCCCTCATATTATATAAAAGCAAATGAAATAAAAGCAGATACTTAAACTCCAGTATGAATTCTGTTACATACTGATCTACTCCCCATCCATCATATAATCAAGCTACATTAAACATGAATTAATGCCAGACACCACAGCAGATCTGAAGAACAAGGCAAATATCTAAATATCAGGATTAAAACCAACTGTTTTATTGAAGCTATTTTTAAAAATCAGATGAAGCATTATAAATGATAAAAATCATAACTGGGAAGAAAGACCTGACATTAGAAAACTTTTAACCAAAAGACACTTTACAAAAAAAATCAGGACAACTTTCCTAACTGCACATAGTATAAAGATGAAATCAACAGGTGTCTTTTTGAAGCAACACAACACCATACACATAAAATGGATTTCAAGATCTATGATAGAGCATCATTTTCAGATGGTCTATTAACTATGTTAAAATAGTTTTTCAACAATAAACATGTTTCAGATTTATACAACTGCCTCATGTTGGCACAAGTATTTTATACATTTCTGCAAGAGATGTATCTTCTTCACTTAGCCATGAGTAGTATCATCTTCCACAAAGTCTTTGGCCATTTCCGCTGTTATCACATCAATATGACTAACCTAAATCAGCAAGAGGAATACAGTATAGTGATTAATGAAGTCTGCAGATGACTTAAAAGTTTTACATTCTCCACATCTCCAGCAAATCTATATCACGATCTAAACAATATAAGTCTACAGCAGAGGTCCCCAACCCCCGGTCCATGGCCTGGTGCTGGTCCATGGTCTGAGCTGGACCGGGCCACCGAGACAGACCTCCTGCCCCCCCACACTCACCCCCGCACAGCCCATTTGCGCCTAATACGTAGTTCGTATGCATACAATGTGCTTACATGTAGTGAGCTAGTATCTAATTAGAGACTGAGGTGGTGCGTAAATAAGATTTCCAAAGGACAAGGCTTTAGTATCTTGTATGTGTGATCCCAAAGTGAGCAGCAATAGAGAAAGCAAAACTGGATAAATTATGTAATCCAAGTAGATTGGCATTAATTTTTACAAGTAACAAAACATACTCTGGGTATTGATTTCCAAAGAATTATACATATATTCTCTTGCTAGTAGACTGTGATATGGAAAAGTCAGCCAGAGGCAGGACAATGTACTAAAATTCTTTAAAGTTTTATGGGCTTGCACATCTAGTCATTTCATTACTTCCCTAGTCAAAGGCAGCTGAGCCATGCTGAAATCTAACGAAGCAGAAGTCTTTCAAGTCACCAGAAACCTTTAATTGCTAAAACAGCAAACCTATGTCTAAAAAATTCCATACAAACTATTTATTTTAGTTTTCATAAAGGCAGCTGTGTTACAGTGCAATCCAAACTGAAAAATACATCACCTGCAATAGGTTTGGAATCAGCAGAAGCTTTTTGAGCACTTCTGATTCCTCTGATCTGGCAGCACATCTGATCTGCCAACAACAGTATTCTGTCTCATATGTTATAAAAACAAACCTTGTTTCTGAATTTTACACCATAAAACTTGTCAGCAGATTCAAGCAGTTCAGGCCTGAAAGTTGTAGTGATGAACTGAGCATGTTCTGCTAATTCCATAATCATATCTGAAAAGAAAATACATCTCTTAATGAACTCTGATGTATAGGCAACAGAAATGGTAATGATGTAGATTTTTTTCTGGTGGGTGACAGGTAAAATACAGCTGCTTTCAGTTTAATTATAAACATAAAAATGCCATTAAAATATAAGTAAGACTTTACTCAGGAAGTGGTCATAACATGACAAATCTTTGTGTTGTGAATTGGAGTTTGACTTGGTCAGAATTCTCCAAGGAAAGTTGTACAATGCATATATACAGCAATACAGAACTGGGAAACTACCAGAAAATAAATAATGCCTTTTCTTGGTTACTGCACTGCTCTTTTTCTATGCTGGAAAATATACCACATATCATGACTGCATCTGCCACTCAGTATGATTTAAGGTTGACAGAAACTTCTGTAACAGTGGCACTCTCTCCAGCCTGGTGCTTCTGTTCTTTTCTTAGTTGATAACTATATCACCATAATTCAAGCTGCAGCATCATACTAATCACACCAACAGGTCAAAGGAATTTCTTATGAACTCTGTATTTGGCACTTTAGTTAATAACCTAACAATACCAAAACACACATTCCAAGTATGGTCAAGGTTATAGACCCTGAATATTAAATTTACTGCATTATAATTGAAAAGAGCGATTTCACAACTTTGAAGAAATGAGGATTCCAACTTTGCACAGGCTTTTGCCACTTTTAGTAATTGAGGTGGCTGCTTCAGAATGCAAATTTGGCCAAGACTCTTCTCTGTGACAAGGAATATTATGTGAAAAATGTAATAAAAAATAACCAATGAATGAAGACAATGTAATACATGTGATATTAAAAACAGGAAGTGGAAACAATTTCCAGATATTATTTCATTGTGTCATATTTATTTATTTAACAGGTTTTGGTAGTAGTCAGGATCATTTTAATTTCTTACTCTGAGTTATTTTTCCCAAAAACAATTTTGAATTTCTGGGATTTATACACTGGGCAACCTTTGTCTATCAATACAAATAACAGAACTGGGTTCAATATAGCTATTATATTTTACAGAATCATAGAATCACAGAGTTGGAAGAGACCATAGGGGCCATCAAGCCCAACCCCCTGCTATGCAGGAATTCCATCAAAGAACTCCTGACAGATGGCCATCCAGCCTGTGCTTAAAAACCTCAAAAGAAGGAGACTCCACCACACTCCGAGGCAGCATATTCCACTGCCGACCAGCTCTATCAGGAAGTTCTTCCTGAGATTCAGGTAGAATCTCTTTTCCTGTAGTTTGAAACCATTGCTCCTTGTCCTACTGGCTGGAGCTGTGCAAAACAAACCTGTCCCTTCCTCGACATGACATCCCTTCAAATATTTAAACATAACTATCATGTCCCCCATTGCCTTCTTTTTGTAAGACTAAACATTCCCATATTTGGAGATTCTATTCAGGAGCCAGTTATGGTGAGTTAACTTTTCTACAAACACAGTTTATAAATTGCAAAACAAGCTTCCAGTGGCAAATCTACCTTGCTCTGAACTACATCCAGACACCAGATTTCGTTATTTGTCCATCAGTAAAAACGAACAGAAAACCCTTTAGTCTTCTCCATTAAATGCACAATTAAGAGCCTTGCCTATGTATCTGTAATACAATTTATGGTATATTATAGAATAGATAGACTATACTTGGTGACTCTTGGAAACATCTGTTTTTGAAGACTATCTTTTGGTAATTCAGGTGTCTGCTTCAGAATGCAAATTTGGCTCTACAACTCCATGTTTTGATTAAGGCCAGAAATGGGATCAGTAAGCACAATATATTACATTCCACTGTCTTCTATTCCGGCATAAACAAAGTTATTCAAACCTGAATTGAACGTATCCGGGGCTAGAACATCAGGGGCAGTTATATTAACTTCTTTGGACTACATATGAACAGAAGTGGCATACAAGGAACAGCTCTTCAATGCAGCACCACAACATCTGCTACTATATCCTCTTACAGCTATCACTGAACAACTTTCATTACTAAAAATAAAACACCTGTACCTGATACAGCTTTTCGGTGTTGAGCATCCAGGGCCTGATCAATTTCATCAAAAAGGTAAAAAGGAGCCGGGTCACATTTTTGGATAGCAAAAATCAAGGCTAGGGCTACTAGTGACTTCTGTCCACCAGAAAGCTGCTGCATCTCTCTCATTTCACCTTGTTTGCCTGTAAATGAAACCTGAAGAAACAACAGAAAAGGTAGTTATTGCTACTTCTGAAGTATTATCGTAACATACTGCATGTGAAAAATAATCAGTGGTCTACAGAGGGCAAAATGAGGTAATATTCCTTTACCCTAATGCCAACTCCGGTGAACTGGTCCACAGATGGGACACTGCTCTGAGATCCTGATCCTTTTTCACTCTCAGCACTGCCTTCACCTTCATCTTGAGATTGACTGCCTTCCACATCACCCTTTTTCATCACAAGTGTGGCCTTTCCTCCAGGCACCAGTTTCTGAAACACCTCACTGAAGTTCTTTGACACCTTGAGAATGCAGGATTCAAATTAAGTTTTGTAAGAATAATTTTACAGGAATTTAAACAATATTTTGTTAAAACATTGCCATAAATGTTCATTCTAAAAATAATCTATCTGATCAAATATGCAACTCACAATTGTTAGTGAAATGTCACCAGTGTGAAAGTAGCATAATACAGTATTTTAAAATAATTACAAATCCCCAATTACAGTGGTGCCTCACTTAGCGATGTTAATCCATTCCGGAAAAAACATCGCTAAGTGAAGTAATCGCTAAGCGATATTAAAAAGCCCATAGGAACGTATTAAAATGTGTTTAATACGTTCCTATGGGCTAAAAACCTACCTTAAAGCGAAATTCCTCCATAGCGGTGGCCATTTTGGGTGCCTCAAAAGCGAGGCAAAACAGCAGCAGCCATTTTGTTTTTGCGGCGGCCATTTTGGAACCACCGATCAGCTGTTTAAAAAAGTTCATTTTGCCATGATCGCTTCCCCGCAATCATCGCATAGCGAATTTTAGCCATAGGGGCCATAGCTAAGCAATCACTCCAGCGATGGCCAAAAGTCCATCGCAAAGCGATTTCATCGCTCAACGGAGCGATCGCTAAGCGAGGCACCACCGTATTTTCTAAATCTGTCACGTCTTACATCAGCAAATATTTCTACAGCTTTCTTAACTTACCATGGTGGGAATAATTGGTAATGTCTTGAAAATCAGTGACCAAACAAAAAGCTAAAAATTTGTGATGGCATTACTTCCATCTTAAATAATAACCATTTAACAATTATAAATGGTTGCAAATAATACCTGTTTGAAAGTCAGCTGGATAGCTTCATATTTTCTGAGTTCAAGGACATTCATCAACTCCATGATGGATTTGTAGCCCCTGTCCAACTCTTCTTGACGTTTTATTAACTTTTCTTTCTGCTCTGAAAAGTTCACAAATTGATCTAGGGCTTTTTTATTGACGTGACTATATTTTTTCAGTTCCGTGTTGCATTGCTCCAGTTTACGAAACAGCTGGATAAAAAAAGTTAAGACCATCTGTCAGAGTATTTTATGAACTAATATTAATTACTTTGGTAGAACACTGTAAATCTGTATTACCTGTTTTAAGCTCAGTGTCTGGTATTTTTCAAAAGCTTCCTGGGGAAGTGAGCCCAATTCTCTGATTTTTTTCATACACTCTTCCTTCTTCTTCAGAAGCATGCCTTGCCTGTTAGTCATCTTCTCAAGCTCTTTTGTGTCATGATTAATAGCATCCATGTGCTCTTTCTCCATGTTCTTCCAACGTTCCATACTCTTCTGCAGTTCTTTGATCCCTGCTTCTGTTTTGTCAATTGAATTGTCTAAATCTATTGTATAGAAATAAGTACAGAAGGAAAAGTAAGTAGTAGGGAAGGGATGATGTATAAAACAGAACAAGTAAAAAAAAAGCATTAAAAAGGGATTACATATAAAACCCAACAAGTAAAATAAAAATGTACATGTGTTTGTATATATGATAAATAATTTAACTGAAAATAAAATACACTGAAGAATGGTAATGTCCATGAAGTAACCTATCCTGAATGTGAAGCAGGAAGGGAAGCTACTACAAAGAATGGAAGAGATCTTAGAGATGTCAAGTTCAGCAAGGTAGATAATTATACCCGCAAAATTTGGGCAAAACCAAAGGAATCCACCACGAAATTAAGAAGAGTTCTAAGTTCTGGACCTTTCCACAAAGTAGCTACTATGGTCAGGCACACATCCCAAGTTCTATTTATACTATTTCCTTTGAATAATTTCTAACTATTTAAAACTGTGCCTAAAACATCATTTGATCAGTTAATCTTTTTGGTTGAAGCTCCCCATCCCAACCCTCCTTTCAAAGTTTATATGTCTTTACAGCATGTTCAAGAAAAACATTATCTACAAGTAAACACAAGAATACTACCAACCATCTGATCGTGCCAGTGTATCTTTTACTCGCTTGTTGATTGCTTCAAGCTCAGATGTAGTGGCTGTTAAGACAGTGCCACCTTCAGTCTCTCTCAGTTCATTTAGCTCCTACAGGGCAATAAGTTAACATTTAGGTTCAGCTGAAGCAAAGCAACAGTATAAACTATACTGCACAACACAATCCTTGCACTTCATCACCCCCACCCCCCCTACCCCCCCCCCCCCCCCCAGTTTGGCGATACAGAAATTGTGATATGCTATATTTTTACAATTTATTGGTCTAATGATTTTCATAACACAATGTTTCCAGACTGATCCAGAAGGAAATGACTTATACTAGGAAAGAACAGATCATGTACGGACTATAACTACAGTGGGGTCTCGACTTACGAATGGCTCGACATACGAACGTTTCGACTTACGAACCGCTCTCATAGGAATATATGGACTCGACTTACGAACTTAGATTCAAGTTACGAACTCTTTTTTTCCTTTTTTTAAAAGCTAAGTCATCTTAGGTTAAAAGGAAAAAAAGAAAAAATAGCCCCCTCTAGTGGCAGAAGGCGGAATAACAGCTTCCCATTAGTTTCTATGGACGAAAAGAGCAGATATGGATTAAATGGCTTTCAATGCATTCCTATAGGAAATGCAGATTCGACTTACAAAATTTTCGACCTGAGAACTGCCCTCCAATACGGATTAAGTTCGTAAGTCGAGACCCCACTGTACTATTTAATATTGTTAAATTCCTGAGGAAAAAGAAAATTGTTAGAACATTTTGAGAAGCGTAAGAGCATTTCCTGATAAATCACTTAGTTCATGTGCATATACTTAACATTTGAGGACTGTAACAGTGATTTCCCTATATGATTCAGCAATCACAGATCTGCTAAGAGAGATCTGAGAGACAGAAATTTTATTTCAAATCACATTCAATGCAGTTCAAGTGACAAACTTGAATTTAGTAGAGCAAAAATGTTAGGGAAAATACCATTTAACTAACTTTCCTTTCCAAAAGTATTGTATAACTTTAATGTAGATATTTTATGGCAGACTAGATATTAATAACAATTTAACCATCTTTCTGTCACTCAGTCAGAGGTTTTTGGGTTTAATCTATTCCGTTTATGTTGCTATGAAGCATGAATTACAACCAACAAACAGCAAATTAAAATTATAATGGTCAAAATTTTGTTGGATAGTCACACTGGCATGAGTGCAATAGTGTAAACTGCAATTATTCACTGCCACTAATTAACAAGCAACTGTATCCCTCATCAATGAGGGGTAAAAGTGGCAAATCATTCACTACCAAAAATTCACCATTGTGAATTATGTTGTTGCATTTACACTGGTGTAACTACTTAATACAATTCTGCCTATTAAAGCTGCTGGCTTATATGGCTTACAATGGAGCAATCCATACAAAACTGCACTGTAAAATTAAAATGCTACTACTAGCTTCATACACATTGGAAGGTACCAGTAAATACAGAACACACAGAACTATCTAAAGTTGTCAACATCCACACATGAACATCAGCTGCTGTACTGTTATAAGGGAGTGCTGACAAGTATTGAGCCCTACCCAGAAAAAATCAGACAGGAAGCTGTAAATTGAGCGTGTATTGGCCAATTTGTCTATATTCGTGAATATGACAGCACTTCCAGAAATGTTCAATGAGGAAGAGCATAGGACCATAATCAAGCTCCTGTTTATCCAAGGTGCGAAGCAGATCCATGATGAAATGTCACAAACTATGGCTGACAGTGGCCCTTCATATGCAACAGTTAAACGTTGGGTTGTCAGTTTTAAAACTGTCCATTTCGGTGTTGAAAGTGAGAAACCCAGTACAAGGCCTGTTTCGGTCTCTGTGCCTGCAAATGTGAAAGGCATCCATGACATGATCATGGAGACCCGCCGAATATCAGCCAAAAGTATTGCTACATATCTGGGAATATCGCGTGAGAGAGTTGGTGCCATTATTCACAACGACTTGAAAATGAGAAAGCTGGCAGCAAAGTAGATCCCCAATCTTTTGACAACTGAACAAAAGAGGAAATGTGTGAGGTCATCAGTAGCTGTTTTGGAACATTTTGCAAGAAATGAGTCAGATTTTCTGGGCAAACTAGTAACTGGTGATGAGACATGGATCTACTGTTATGATCCTGAGACAAATGAACAGTCTAAGGAATGGAGGCACATTGGTTCCCCCAGGCCAAAGAAGTTCCAAGTGCAAAGGTCAATGCAGAAGCAAATGGCAACTTTTTTGGGGGGATAAGAAGGGAGTTCTGCTGGTGGACTACCTCCAACAGGGTTCAACCATCAATGCAAAATATTACTGTGCTTTATTGACAAAGTTGAGGCAAAACATCAAGGAAAAATGTCAAGGAGACCTCTCCAAACGTGTCATCCTGTTGCATGACGCCTTGTCACACACTGCAGGTGAAACAATGGTAAAACTGACCTCCTTAGTCTTTCAAGTGATGCTCCATTCACCCTATTCTCCCGACTTGGCTCATTTGGACTATCATCTGTTCCCCCAAACTCAAAAAACACCTAAAGGGACAACAGTTTGGGAGTGTTCTGGAGGCAACTAATGCTGCAAATGAAGTTACACCAGCAGCTGGAAAAATTTTATTTGCAGGGATTTAAGAAGCTGCAGGACAGATGTCCCAAGTGCATTGACTTCCTGGGGAAATATGTAGAATAGTGTGGCAGTTACAGCTTCCTAGCTCGAATTTTTTGGGGTAAGGCCAATACTTGTCAGCACCCCCACATATACAATTACGTAGTATTGTCCAGAACATGTTCCCTTATTCCTGCAAAGCAGAAGTTCATCAATATGCTAAAAGCAACATTTTAAAATAATGTACCTGAACTAAAACTCCTTACTTGTTCAACTTGGTCTAAGCGTTTCCTCAAATTTTCATTGAGATATGTTTCAACTCGTGTGATGATACCTTCAAGCTTGATTCTTTCATTCAAAAGTTGTCTGTTTTCCTACAAAGCAAGAAATATCAATTCAGTTTCTGTATTCTGTGGGCTTTTCAAGCTTTGATGAATATGAACACTGCGGAATCGCCATCCATTATTTCTCAAAATCATGGGAAACAGGGGAGGTGCTAGAGGACTGGAGGAGGACTAATGTTGTCCCTATTTTCAAAAAGGGCAGAAAAGAGGAACCTGGGAACTACAGGCCAGTCTGTCTGACATCAATCCCAGGCATAATTCTGGAACAGATTGTAAAGTGGTCATTGTGCAAGCACCTAGAAAATAATGCAGTAATAACTAGAAGCCAACACGGATTTGTCAAGAACAAATCCTGCCAAAGTAATTTGATCTAGCTTTTGGATCAGGTCACCTCCCGGATAGACAGAGGGAATGCTGTAGATGTAGTATATCTTGACTTCAGCAAAGCTTTTGAATAAGTGCCCCATAATATCCTTATTAGCAAGCTAACTACGTGTGGGCTGGATAGATCAACTGTCAGGTGGATACACAGTTGGCTACAGAATTGTACTCAGAGGGTGACGATTAATGGGTCCTTCTCTAACTGGGAGGAGATCACGTGGGGTATCCTAAGGCTCAGTCCTAGGCCCAGTGCTCTTCAATATCTTTATTAATGACTTGCATGAGAGAGTGCAGGGAATGCTTATCAAATGTGCAGATGATACAAAATTGGGCGGAATAGCTAATTCCCTAGAAGACAGAAACAAAATTCAAAATCACCTTGATAGGATGGCTCACTGGGCAGAAAGCAACAGAATGAAATTCAACAAGGACTAGTGCATAGTACTGCACCTCAGATAAAGAAACCAAATGCACAGTTACAAGATGGTAGATACCTGGCTCAGCAAAACTACGAGTGAGAAGGATCTTGGAATTGTCATAGATCAGAAGCTAAATATGAGCCAACAGTGTGATGTGGCTACAAAAAAGGCAAATGCTATTTTAGGCTGCATTAATAGAAGTATAGTTTCCAAATCCCGCGAGGTGCTAGTCCCCCTCTATTCAACACTGGTTAGGCCTCACCTTGAGTATTGTGTCCAGTTCTGGACACCACATTTCAAGAAGAATGCTAACAAATTGGAACAAGTTCAGAGGAGGGCGACAATGATGATCAGAGGGCTGGAAACCAAGCTTTATGAGGAAAGCCTGAAAGAATTGGCCATGTTTACCTTGAGAAAAGAAGGCTGAGCACTTCAGCTAGCACTTTTCAAATATTTGAAAGACTGTCATACAGAGGAGGGACAAGATCTGTTCTCAATCATCCCAGAGTGCAGGACACACAACAATGGGCTCAAATTAAAGAAAGCCAGATTTCAGTTGAATATCAGGAAAAACTTTCTAACTGTTAGAGCAGTATGACAGTGGAACCAGATACCCCGGGAGCTGGTGAGTGCTCCAACACTGGAGGCATTCAAGAAAAACTTGGATAATCACCTGGCAGATGTGCTTTGATTGTATTCCTACATTGAGCAGGGGTTTGGACTTGATGGCCTTGTAGGTCCCTTCCAACTTCACTTTTCTATGGTTCTATGATATCTCTATTTTATTATTTATTTATTTATTTCATTTTTATAACTCCCATCTGGCTACTAAGCCCATTCTGGGAGGTTTACAGGTTCCAAAATTATAAAACAACAATACAAATATTAACCAAGTAACAACTTAAAACAAAATACAACAACAGATAAAATATTTAAAATAATAAAAAGGCATGGCAGAGGGGTTGAAGGTATAATTGTTAAAAGCAGAGCTGTTCTAAAGTCCGGGAAGGTCGGTACAAACAGCCATGGTTTTAGTAGTCTTTTGAAAGTTCCCAGTGAAAGGGCCAGGCACATTTTGAGTGAGGGACTATTCCACAGTTTCGGAGCAACTGCCCAGAAGGCCAGATTTCTAGTTGTCATTTTCCGGGCCTCTCTTGGGATAAAAATTCTCAACTGCCCAGCCTGAGAGGATCTTACAATACAGGCAGATCTAGCTGGAAGGAGGCCTTCTGCCAGATACCGAGGCCCCAAACCGTTTAGAGCTTTTCTTTATTTATCTATGGTGAGAGGTTTTACCTATAGTATTGGATGCTCAAAAATATAATACAATCATGTAAACTGAAAATGTTTTGGGATTTCTCTTACTCTGTACACAAAATGCTTCATGTACACATTCAAGAATGAAGTAACTGTATTACAAATGGGTTTATCTCTTGAGGTGCCCAGAAAGCAATAGTTCTAAGAAGACACAGGGACATAACTGTGACAAAACAATATTGCAACATATATTATATACTATTTATATCTCTCAAATTAAGCACTTCTCTTTTCTTATCGGTTCCATGTTCACTCTTTAGGAAAAAGATTTCTTATATATGAACAATCCTGTAAAGACAATAAGAGCTAATATGACTGTAATGCAGTTGATTGGCTGTGTTCACAGTACAGTACAGCCAGTGTTTACTGGCTAAAATCCTGCTGGCATAGCTACACTTATAGAAGGGTGATGATGTCACCAGCAGAAGAGATTTTACCAAAACCTGTTGTAACTAGATCATATTACTAGCAGGGGGACATTTTCGGTGATGAAAGCTTTCATTCTGCCATCTCAAAGGTACCATGCAATGACAGGGATTATCTGGAAGTCAGAAATTTTAAAGGAGAGACGGGAGACTTCTTTCATTACTGAAAAATACCTGCTGTGAGTATGATTCCCCCTTCTGCATATATGTACCACTTCTGAACTCATTTTCTTTCATAAAAAAGTGTTATTAAATGCTTTATTAAATGCTGCACTTACTTGTTGTAGCTGTCGGATTTCATCGTTAAGTGCATCCACCCGCTTCTGGTCCTCTAAGCTGAGTTGAGACAACAAGTCTGTTCCCAGTTCTGCTTTTAATGACTCTCGTGTTGACTCCATGGCATGTAAACTGGCCTCTAAACTTTGTAAACTGCGTTGCTAAGTAAGATTAAAGTCAGTAAAATGAAACAGTAAATTTCTATTAGGTTATAAATATTCTGAGATAGCATTCATAAAAAGGCCTTTTAGCTCATCTCACTCTTTAGCCCATGACCAGCAACTTAAAAAAAAGGCACGAAAGCAGTAAACAGAAGTAATCTATCCCAATTCCTTGATTATCACATAGACTAAGAGTGAAACTCTATGCATTTCTATACAGAAGTCCCACTCTGTTAAATGGGGTTTATGTCATGTAAACAAGTACAGAAATGTACTTTAGGAAATTGCAGAGAACATAAAACTGACATATGTCATCATATCAATTTTCAAATTTTTCCTCACTGGCTTTAAAAATAAAATTATTTACTTATATTACATATCCATAGGCATCAAATCTAAAATAAATATATGCTAGGTTAATTTACCCTGAATATTCAGTAGAATAAAAGCAGAACACGTGCCTATTCAGTTCCACACAGTCTAACATATTTCATACCTTAGGCATGAATGTTTTCTCAGATTGTTGTCTCTTTTCTTTCAGCATTTTCATCTCTGACAAAATGCTGTCTCTTGAAGCTTTGAATTTTCTTTGTTGGGTTTCAATCTGCTGCATTTGATTCATGAGTTGATCAATTTCATTATTAATCCATGCAATGGGCTAAGGAAAAATTCCACCAATCATAATTATGAATGATGTTAAATTAATGTACTATAAGGACTGCAAATATTTGAGTTCCTTTATAAATATTTCACTCCCTTCACATAAAGCATTTCTTATACAATACAGCATCTCTAGGCAGAAATATTTAGAACGTGCTATAAATGAAACATCACTAGAAGTTACATAGAAACAACCTGATCACCTACTGTACTTGAAAAATGATTGCATAACAATGAATATCCCCCCCCCAATTCAATGCAATGTACACCAAGATGTAACTTAATGGACGTGACTGAGCAATAAAATATTTTGTCCATAAAACTTATAACTTTAGCAGCTGTCAGCTAATACCAATGCTACTATTGGTTGTTGTAGGTTTTTCAAGTTGTCTGGCCATGTTCTTGAGGTTTTTCTTCCTAATGTTTCGCCAGTCTCTGTGGCCGGCATCTTCAGATCTTTGTCCTCTGAAGATGCCGGCCACAGAGACTGGCGAAACGTTAGGAAGAAAAACCTCAAGAACACAGCCAGACAGTCTGAAAAACCTACAACAACCACTGAATCCTGGCCGTGAAAGCCTTCAAGAATACAATGCTACTATTATTTGTTCCTTATTCATCGTGTACCTGTGGTGAAAAGCTACCTGCAGTGAATACCTCCAGTCTGGGTTCTTCTTTTTATTCTCCCTGGTTGAGAGAATTTAGCAACAGAATATCCCTACATCCCTGACTTTCCCAAACTATGACTCTGTCTGCACAGCATAGTAAGTCAAAGAAGGATGGCTTATCGGATATAAACAATATGATGGTGCATGCTGGCCAGCTGCTTAGGCTTGCATCACCCAACTGTATGTACTTCCTTTTCTCTTGTTTGGATGTCTCCCAACAAATCATGAATGAAAGCAGAAACACACCCCAGATTCTTTTTCTGATATGTTGAAAAAGAAAACAGAGAAGAGATAGCATTTGTAGCCATCCTATCCAGAAAGCAGAAAAGACCCAACAATGCAGAGTTCACATGGTATGATCTTGGCCTGTGATGACAGCATACCGTAGCACAGTCATCTATTTTTAGACAGCATAGATTTCATAGAAATAGTATTTTATGAATAAGCAAAGTAGCCCATTCACACCCACATCAGTGGAAAAACCCTCTGAAGGATATTTTCAATATTTCTGCGTAAATTTTCATTAAGCTTTGCTTCAAGTTCTCCTAGTTCTTCTTCTGCTTTTCTAACATCTTTCTGGAGTTCAAGTCGAGACTTTCGTGTGTCATAATAGCCCCCAGTTAAAGCACCTCGGTGGCTCACTTGATCACCTGAAACATTAAAATTAAGAATAGAAGTTAGACAACTTTGCACTCCCACAGAATATGCCTCTTGGAATAATTTACCAAACATATTGCAGGATTTGCACCATATTTTCACAAGAAACAAGACTGTTTCTTGGTGGAATGAAGCACCTAATGTGTACCATTGGTAACCTCCATCTTGTCTCTGTGTTTTTAAAATCATCTTAATATTTAAGGAGCAGATTTTCAGTACTGAATGCATTTTAGTCTAAACACTGAACAGTTATATTTTAATGGTCTAGCTTTATATTAGCTGAATAAGTCTGTTTATGTAGAGAACTGGCACAAAACAAGTGCAGCTCATTAGAACTCATGTCTGTACTCCATGTTAAACTTTGCTTAAGCACCCTATGCTCAAGCTGAAAGGAAGTTGAAATCTTCTCTCTTAAATCTGGCCTATATTTCTGTGTGAACTAAGGATCATTGTTCACATTAGAACCAAAGCAAACTTGAAATTCCTTTTCCAGCCTTTTATAAATAAAATGACACTGAAGTCATACCTTCCAAAGTAATACAGTCCATAGTAAAAGCTCTGGCCAGCTGTGTAGACACTTCCATACTGCGACATATGAGGGTCTTTCCAAAAACGTGTTTGAAGGCTTTATCAAATCTTGGATTATATCTTAGTTTACTGATCATAGGAATAGCATCCTGAAAGTAAAGCACAAAATAAAATAAAGTAGTTAAACAAAACCACATCAGTACTGTAGCTATCCTCAGATATAAAATTTAAAGGCTTAAAAGGGCACAGGACCCATACTTCTGCTACCAAAAATACAAATAACTAAGAGGTATAACACTAATTTTCTTGATTGCAAAAACACAGATCAAGATTTCCCTAAATCAAAGGAAATTAAAATAGCTGAAGAATATCTAGTGTTACAACACACTGGAATAAACACAGACATACACAAAGCTTTTCATCTCCTATTTGCCACTGCCAAAGCACTGAAACAATTATAAATATATCCTTCAGCGTAATCAACTATTTTTGAAAAAAGGAAAACACTCACATTTGTTTCAGGATATGCAGTATCTCTAACATCCAGTTTGTTCAAAGGCAGAAAAGTGACTTCTCCTGGAAGATTCATCTTATTGAACTCCATTAATATTTTAGTACTAACCTCATCAGAATCTACAATATGATAAAACAGCCTAACAAAAAAAGAGAGTCTATCAAGGGCTTTATCATAATTAAGGCATAGTTTTTATTATAATCATGACAGTGCCAGTTCCAAAATTAAAGAAGATAAAGTTATGCAAGTGAAGGTTTATAACTTTAAAAATAAGTTTAGTTTGTTAATTAAGTGCTTTCAAGCAATTTATTTTAGATACATTATAACAATGTACATTTGTAAAAGGAAAAAAAATATTAATGAGAATCATACCTGTTTCCTGCAGTAACTTCTACACATGTGTAGAAAGCAGGTTCACACTCAAAGTTGTTCATTACTATTCCATGATAACCATTCAAAACATGCTGGTTAATGCCTTTGCGACGAAAATGCTCCAAAACTTTGTTTATGCTGTCAATGCCATTTAGAATAGCCTGTCAAAATTAGACAATATAACATGTTCTTCTATGGATTGTAAAAACATTCAAAGTCTTTCATCATTCCTCAAATGCTTTTAAGAATCTCCCCACGTAAGATAGTTCATGTTCAGATTTGCTGTTCATAACATTGTTACAAAACTGTCAGTGAGTATGATAAAACATACAGCAGTATATATACATATTACTTATTCACACAAGCTAATCTGTAAGACAACAGAAGCCTAAACACAAAGCAGCAATATTTACATAACAAATGTCTGGTGACTGCAGAAGGCCATTAAAAAAATTCCAGGAGCTACAACTGCAAAAGCTGCCACAATGATATGGTAAGGTACCAACTGGTGGTTCACCCAGTAGTGAACCTGTGACAGCTTATATAGTTGGAGCACACATGCAAAAATATTTGATAGAATACATTCCTTAGTAATCGTCAAGAGATTGGGAAAACAACTGATCATGGTTTCTGTTGCTCTGAGAAAATAAGGCTTAAAAGTTTGTATCTAGGTCAAGCTGAGAGAAGAGGGAGAAGTATCTGTGCCTTATGTTTTGTGAGGTTTTTTTTTTGCATTCCTACATGGCAGGGTTGGCGCAAGAGTCAAACAACTTAACCTTGTGGATTTTTGGTAACTCCCTGGAAGTACTGCTTAGTCAGAGTGAGCTAAGCTGTTGGTAGAATACCAGTCAGGAAGATTTTCTCCAGCCATCAGCACATTTGGCTTTCCTGGATTTTATCCACAACAGGACAATCACGATAGTGATTAAATGGTTAATGTGGGCCTTTCTGACCCAGGATAATTTTCACAATAATTAATAATAGATTAGCAGTCTCACCTTTCCTGTTGCCGCTCTTAGAAGCTGTTGTTTCTTTTCCAAGTCTTCTCGTTTAGCTGCAAGAGCCTGCTGTTCTGCATTCTCCTCTCTCCACAAGTAACTGAAAAATATTGTATTTCCATATTAGCAGATTCATCTTCAAACAGAGGCAGCATAAAAGCAAGCAATAAGCCTACAACATGACACCAAATGGAAACATTTCCAATTCATTTATCTAACTTCCAACAGTGAAGTTAAATTCTAAAGCAATCGTTCCCAGCCAAATGCCTTTAGATGTGTTGGACTATCTCTCTCATCATCCCAGACAGCATGACCGCTGAACTATGCTGGCAAGTAATTATGGTAGTTGCCCATGTTGGTTAAATATAGTGGGAGTTATAGTCCAATCCATCCAGAAGGCATCAAAGGCTGGTCTAGAGGCATTTCAAAATGAATTCTGTATATCAGTTCTCTCTGTAACCCTCATACATACTCTGCAGCAGGGGTCCCGAACCCCTGGTCTGTGGCCAGTGCCGGTCCGTGGGCTTGCCAGAACTGCGCCACAGAGATGGATCTCCACCCCCGCCAACACAGGGGGCGTGTAGCGCTTGCGCAGGGTGTGTGTCACGCTCACGCACATGCGCGCGAGTGCACCCCTGCCCCCCCACAGAGCCCCCCCCAACTGGTCCGCAATCCCAAAATGGTTGGGGACCGCTGCTCTACAGTATCTCAAAGTGATTCAGAGGTTTTTTTAAAAAAGGTCTATGAATGACATTTTTTCTATTACAACATTCACTGTCAAGATTCCAGAGTAAGATCTATGAAGGTGTGTACTTTATGTCAAACATCCGCACGGTCTGTGAATCATACAATTCCCTATATTTTTATATTCCTAGGCGTAGTTGACATTCTCTAGTTTTTCCCTTGTATCCTTTAGTGCCCAGTTCTGTCACTTTCTGAAAATATTTTGATATAAACAAAAAAAGTTTGAAGAAATTAAGAGTATTTTGGAAAAAAAACCCTATAGTTTTAAAGGCATTCAAGTGAAAGACTAAGATATCATCCATGGAAAAGAACATACAAAAGTAAAAGCTTCAATTGCTATATCCCATGAACAATACAGTGGTGCCTTGCAAGACGAATACCTTGCAGGACAAAAAACTCGCAAGACGAATGGTTTTGGCAATGGGGTTGATGACTCACAAGATGACTGTTCCTATGGCCGTGCTTCGCAAGACGAATGTTTTCCGTTTTTTTGTTCTTGCCTCATGTTTGCTGATTTTTAAATGTTTTTCTATGATGTTTAAAAAGTTAAAGTTTTTTGATTGAAATGTTTGAAATCATCTGCACAATATGTATGGCTTTAAAGAGCACCTAATAAACCCTTTGTAAACCAAATTTTTGTTCTGACTTTTTTTGCCCATAGGAACGCATTAATTAGATTTCAATGCATTCCTATGGGAAAACGTGTTTCGCAAGATGAATTTTTCGCAAGACAACATTAACTGCGGAAGGAATTAAATTCGTCTTGCAAGGCACCACTGTATTGGCAGAGCCTACACTCTGGCCATATTCTAATGGTATTGTTTCATCTTAATAAACAAACTATGAATGATCTTTGAGTACATCCTTTTGTGCACCTCTATTTATGTGAGGAAACAAGGCAGAGAGCCAGTTAACTGTGGTTTTCTATAACATCTGACCAGAAAAAACAGTTGTTCAATAGTCACTGAAAGTCTGGTATATGAAGTTAATGACAAACTGTGATTTCATAGCCTGACTTCTCTAGAAGTCATTAATCTTCCTTAATGTGTCTTTCTGGCTTGTTCCCCTTTATCAAATGAAAGAAGGAACAAAGCAGAAGAAGACCTCAAGTTTGCACACTATTTATAAAACATATTTAAAAAATCAACAAAACTACTAACTTTCTCTCACTCTGTAGTTCATCTTTTTTGTTTTTCACTTCATAGTATTTCCTGTCCAGTTCTTCTACACGGGCTTTCACTTCATTAAGATCCTGGTCCAATTTCTAAAGCATATTTAAAAAGCATTAAAAACTCAATATGTCATCATTTGTACTGAATTTAAAGTACACTGCTAACATCAAGTGACATAAATTTGGTGAAAATGTTTAGAATTAAAAGAAAAAACATTTCTTTGCAGATTCTGCATAACATATCAAACAGAAACAAGCAAACCATGTACCGTATTTTTTACTCCATAAGACGCACCTTACCTTAAGATGCACCTAATTTTTAGAGGAGGAACACAGGGAAAATATATTCTGAACCAAATAGTGTAATAAAATATTTAATAAACTATAACAGAATAACATTTGAACCATATAAAGTGAACAGTGTCATTAATATAGACCATTATCAGCCAGTGATATGACCTATACCACTCTACCTATATTTTACATTTCCTTTCATCCACCT